ATCAAAAAATTACCAAACACCCAAACTATTTGAAACTCTAATACAGCTCTCCCCTTAGGAAATACGCAAGGAACTTTGAGTCCATACTTTTCTGTTGTTTCGAAATTATTAACGAGAGAAATGTCTGACTATATTTTTATTTTGTTTTTGTAGGTTTACTTATAAATTTTTGACGGAGATCTGACGTAGACTCAGTACGTTTTTACCCGTTAGTTTACTTCTCATTAGGTTCCGTAATTATCATGCGTCCTTACCTATAATTACAGAATGAACCCTTCCTAACAGTATGTATATTATGCCTCTCAAGAGAGAGGGTAGAACCAAGCCGAGCTTCTCGGCTTGACGGTCGAACTCTCTGCCTCTGAGCAGAGAGGAACCCGGACGAGGATCCGCCGATCGGCAGAGTATCGTTCGAGTTCGTTGACCAAACCGATCTCGTTTATGCGGGTCCTACGGGCATTTTTTGGCCTTGCCTACGGGCTCGGGAAACCCACGTTAAACTCGGCCTTGTGCCACATGCAACCCTCGGGGGAGGCTAGATACCGAATCAAGCCGAGCTTCTCGACTTGACGGTCGAACTCTCTGCTTCTGAGCAGAAAGGAACCCGGACGAGGTTCCGCCGAAGGGCAGAATCTCGTTCGGGGAGAAATGACGAACCCGATCTCGTTTATACGGGTTATACGGGCATTTTTGGCCGAGCCTACGGGCTCGGGAAACCCACGATAAACTCGGCCTTGTGCCACATGCAACTCTCGTGGGGGTGGCTGAATGCCGAATCAAGCCGAGCTTCTTGGCTTGACGGTAGAACTCTCTGCCTCTGAGCAGAGGGAACCCGGACGAGGCTCCGCCGAAGGGCAGAGTCTCGTTCGGGAAGGTTGACCAACCCGATCCCACTTATACGGGTTCTACGGGCATTTTTTGGCCGAGCCTATAGGCCTCAGGAAACCCATGTTAAACTCGGCCTTGTGCCACATGCAACGCTCGTGAGGGGTGGCTAGATACCGAATGAAGCCGAGCTTGATGGCCGAAGTTATTGGAACGCCCTATATAACGACCAGCATTCATATTCATGCTTGTTAAATGTTATTGCAATATTTGTGTTCACTTTGTTAATCTCAAGTATTTAATGATGCGGTAGGGGAATTTCTACGGATATTTTATTGTCATAGAACACGCCATGCACTTATTCAATCATTAACTAAAGAGTTAAGATTCATCATAAAATTTCAAATAGGTAAACCGTGAAATTTACACGAGTGTTTTTAGTCTATATATTAATATGCTTGTCACGTTAGGTCGTGAGGCAAACAGAAAGGGCCTCTCTTTTTTGAGGTTTGGACGGGCCCTACTGACATCAGTTATATTTAGGTTACTTTGTGTTGATATTTAGTTTGTTTGGGGGGTTCATTTTCCTCCCTTCTCATTCTTAATTATTAGATTTTTATATATAATAATTTATTATCATTAAATTTTTATGGCATGGGCGCGTTTTGTAGGTCTCCCTTGAGAGGATGGGGTATTGTGGTGTATGGAGGATTGAGTGGTGAAGGACGAGTTTTTATGGTGAATGTGGAAATTATAATGAGTGAATGGGTCGTGAATCGGATTAGCTAGGTATAGTGAAGACCAGCCTCAACTCCTCCCTTTTTTAGGCCTTGTGCTGTAATTGTATTTCATATACAATAAATCTACAAAAGGGAAACAGAAAAGGGTGACGATGAGGAGGCTTTCTCTTGTCGAACTCTCTGCCTTCGGGTGGAGAGTAACCTAGACGAGATTATGCCGAGAGGCAGAGCCTCGTTTGGGGAGGTAGACAAACCCGACTCCGTGTATACGGGGTATACGAATAATTTTTGCCATATCCTATGGGCTCGGAACGCCCCACGTTAAAAACTGGCCTTGTGCCACATCTTGCCTTGTGGGGAGGTTGGTAAATAGAGAGGCAAGCAGAAAAGAGAGCAGTTAATTCGTTTAAAGTTCTGCTAGTGGAACTCTCTGCCTTCGAGCAGAGAGGAACCAAGACAAGGCTATGCCTACGGGCAGAGTCTCGTCTGGGGAGGTAGACAGCTACTCGACCCAGTCTATGAGGGGAATTTTTACTCGAGCATACGCGCTCGGAGAACTCCACATTAAAAACCGGCTTTGTGGGGAGGTCTAGGGTGAATACTGGGGTAAGCAGAGAGGGAGCAGGGAATAGAGAGTAGAAGCAGAGAGAGAGAGAGAGAAATGGGGGGGTGTAGAGAGACCAAAAATAAACTACGACACAGAGATGAATTAGAGAACGGTCATCTTAGATAAAGATATTTATAGTGAGAGGTTAAATCATGCTTCGTGATGTAACAATCTGTTGAGGACACATTTGATCCTGAACTGCAAACTACATCCGGCAGTAAGACCTCTGATCTGGAGGTTCTGAGCAGCGTGGAAGCACCTCTTAATTGCCGTTGTTCCCAGCTAAGGACACTAGGAAAGTATAAAGATAGATTTTTATAGTAAAAATACCAGCAATACATTTAAAAAAAATATTACCAGCATGACCATTCTCTAATTCATCTCTGTGTCATAGTTTATTTTTGGTCTCTCTACGTCACATATTACCAGCAATACATTTTTGAAAAAAAAATATTAATATCGATACATCTGACTTTCAACAAAAACCCTCTTTGCAAAAATACGTCAATGAAACCTGACCTACAGGGCAGTCCAAAAGTCTTGTCACTCCTTAACCTCTCTTCCAAACTGTAGGAGCTCGCGTCAGCCAGCTGAAATAGAAAATTATATTATATAGGAGTGACAAGACCTTCGGACCATTCTGTACAAACGAGATTCCAAGTCAGGATCAATTACATTGCAGATACTTCTTTGGATTTTGTCAATAACTTCGAGATGAACAGTATTCAATGCATGGACGAATGGTAGATTTGTAAATGTGCAAGATGGACTGAGGAGAAAAACCTTCTGGCACGACACAATGAACTTTCCTTGCAGTAGATGCAGCTATTGATTCAGTGTAGTTGTTCCACTTCAAGTCACTTGAAAACTTGAGGTCAAGAAGGCGCAGTGAGATGCTATCCAGGAGTCGAGCATCATCCATGCCGATGGCGGACAGGGAAATTTCTCTATGGTGATTAAATGAGAGCAGTTTTGTTTTGGAAGCATTAAAATTTACAAGCCATTTCCTTCCCCAGTTAACGACTGATTGGAGCTCCTTTTCAAAAGCAGCGTCCAGGTTAACTTTGTCAGCTCTAACGGATTTACTATGGAGACAGAAGTAAATGGTAGTGTCATCTGCATGTATGACTACCTGGAAACTGATGACATCAGGAGGGTCATTGATGACGATAAGAAACGGTGTAGGACCCAGGGTAGAGCACTGGGACACCCACGTTCATTTGAAAGGTTCTGGAAGCAAGCTCGTTCAGGACGACTTGCATTTCACGATTTGATAGGAATGATTAGATTAAATCAAACAATCGTCCTGTAATGCCGTAGCCCTGAAACTTACGTTCTCCCCAAGCAAGGTGGTAATACCACTAAAATACAAGGGGGCTACTGGCAGTTAGAGAGAATGAGCAGATTTTAGAAGAATCCAGAAACCCAATCCTAAACAGAAAACAAGGTTTAAACCTCTATTCCAGCTCAAAAGATCGGGGATATACGTATATCTTTTAAGCTTATCCACGTATATAAACTGAAATATCTATCTATCTATCTATCTATCTATCTATCTATCTATCTATGTCAGTTCCTTTCCCTCTCTCTCTCTCTCTCTCTCTATATATATATATATATATATATATATATATATATATATTTATATTATAATTGGAATTAAGATACCTTTACTAAATTACCATTTTTTCACCTAAAATTTTAATTTTAAAATGGTCATTTACTAAAGGTATCTTAATTCAATTGTAAAAAATATATATATATATATATATATATATATATATATACTTTACAATTGGCCATTTTCACCTAAGAATTTTAATTTTAAAATTCGTAGGTGAAAATGGTCATTTACTAAAGGTATCTTAATTCCAACTGTAAAGAAAATTTGCCCCGTTTAATAAAAGAAAATTTGCCCCGTTTAATAAAAATAAACATTGAGCGCTCTTTTATGAATCAGTTTTAACATATTTCAAATTCTATGTTGTATTAATAGGACTCGCCTGGATTATACCAACGGATCGTTACCTGTAAATATATATATGTGTTTTACCCCGTGAATCATTAAGTGTCTCGGGTCTTACAACATTATACCCCCTCTTCATGGTTACCCAATGGATATTGATCAGATATCGAATTGTGTGCCAGCCGTCAGCTACAACATTTAATAATGGAACGTTCTTTATCAACTGCGATGAAATAACTCAACAAAGACATTCATCCACCAAAACTGTAACCTTGGTGATTGGGAAAATAGATTCAGGATCTTATCCAAAGATCATCTGTAGGTAACAATTACTCGGGGTCCCCTATTTCTGTCCCCTAGTCAAGTCTCCAGTGTCGGATATAGTTTATAGTCATACCTAAGACTCACTTTCCAATCAGTTTTAATATTTTATATTATTAGGATTCACTTGGATTACATACCTCTCTCTCTCTCTCTCTCTCTATATATATATATATATATATATATATATATATATATATATATATATATGAACGAAAGAAAAAGACAAAGAAAAGATGGAAATTGGAGGAAGGAAACAAAAATAATTGTCCAATAAAGAAAAAAGAAAGTTAAAGTTAAAGGAAGAAAGTAAGCAAGAAATGAAGAAAAGGAAAATATAAAGATACAATTAAAAGAATAGGAGGAAAATAAAAGAAAGAAAGAAAGAAAGAAAGGACGATGTCAGTTTAAAAAAGAATGAAAGGAAGAAAAAGTCTCCTTTATAAAAAAAAAAACAAAAAAACGACACTATGAAAAAGAAATAAACGACAGTGTGAAAAATAAAGAAAAATGAAAGAAAGACGGCGCGAAAAGAAAAATTAAGAAAGAAGGCAGTGTGAAAGAAAGAAAAAGAAAGTAGTGTGAATGAAAGAAAGAAAGTGTGAGACGAAAGAAAGAAGTTTGGAAAAAAAAAGAATGAAATGAAAAGAGAAAAAAAGACACTGTGCAAGGAAAAACGATTGTGCGAAAAAGATAACTGGAAGAAAAAAGGCAGTGTGGGAAGAAAGAAAGAAAAAAGAAAGAAAGAGAGAGAGAGAGAGAGAGAAAGTAAAAAAGAAAAAAGAAAGTAGTATAAAAAGTAAGAAGTTTGAAAAAGGAAAGAATGAAAAAGAAAAAAGATATTCTGAAAAGAAATAAGGTTGTTTGAAAAAAGATAACTGGAAAAAAGTCAATGTGAAAAGAAAAAAGAAAGAAAAGGCAGTGTGAAAGAAAGAAAGAAAGAAAGAAAGAAAGAAAGATCTTGCGAGGTGAAAAAGAAGGAGAAAAAAGAGAAAAGTATACTGCGATATAGAAGAAGAGAGAAAAAGAATGGTGGGAGATAGGGTGAAAATATAAAGAAAAAAGGAAGAGGGTTTTTCGATTTGGCAACATATGCCAAACAAAACATGAAAAAGGAAGAGGGTTTGCAAAAAAAGGTGGAAATGGTAGAAGAGAAGAAAGAAGATGGGGAGTGATGCGCAGGGGGAGGAGAACGGATGGTAAAGAGAAAATGTTTTTGTTGAATTTGTAAGCAAATACTAACGTCGATATGATAGATAAAAATAATCAATTCATCTCTTTCTCTTCATCCGTCTCATTTTATTTATCGTTCACCCTCTCTTCTTTTTCTCTCTCACTTAAAAACTGTCTATTATTCTCACACACGCACGCATGCGCGTCCACACGGTACAAAATATGGTTAATAAAAACCTAATCAGAAAACAAAAAACAAAAAAACACACTGAGATTCAGAAAGAGACAGTTGCAATTTCTTGGACACATAATGAGGAAAGATGGCTTGGAGGAATTTGACACTCACAAAATATATTGAATGCAGTGGGGTACAGAAAGACAAATCTTAATAGACGCGACAAAAGATAGGAACTTATGGAGAACCATGACCGCCCACCACCTGAAGGGACAAAGCACATAGAAGAAGAAGGCCGCCTCATCCCGGGATAGTGGTTAACGAGTTACTCTCTTAGACTTTTGCCACTGTTCGATTCTCAGTGGGTGCCGCATTTAGTGATTTAGTTAAACTCCATTTGTTTTTTGCTGTACACTTTTGTCTTAAGTACAAGTGACCCCTGCCGGTGAGATTTTTTTAAACATAAAATATGCGTTCCGGTCCAAATAAACGTTCCGCCTGGAAATTTTATATAAGTTAAAGAAACGTGGAAACCAATAACCGTGCTGCAGGCGTCTTCTCACCAGACGCAGCGGGGCCATCCTGAGAGAATTAAAAGTCCTACCAGGATTCATTATTGGTGGCCACAACATTAACAACATAAGATATGAAGATGACACAGTGTTGACAGCAGGTACAGAAAGGAAACTATACGGTCTCCTACAGAACGAAAACGAGTAGAAAGGACAAAGCTCCAGTTTTGGAAAGACTGAGTGCAGAGTTGTTAGCACAAGTAACAGTCTAACATTCAAATTACAAAACGGAGATACCAAGATCAAACAAGTACAACAATTTAGAAGCATATTAACAGAGAACGGAAAGTGCTACACGGAAATCCGAACACGTATTGGGATAGCGGGAGATGCCTCCTAAAAGCTAAGCAAAGTATCAAGAAACAGAAAAACATCGTTAGAAATAAAGAAAAGAGTACTGAACTGTTATTTAGTATCAGATCTCCTATAAGGCAGTGAATGCTGGACAATCTCCTCAAAGACGAAGAAGAGACTTGAAGCAACAGAAGTTGGATCCGACAGAAGGATGCTGAGGATACAATGGACCGAACATGCGAGCAACGACGTGGTTTTAGAGAAAATGGAAACAAAAATGAAACTTATACTTCACATCACGAAGAGACAGTTGAAATTTCTACAGAAGGATGCTGAGGATACCATAGACTAAACATGCGAGCAACGACGAGGTTTTAGAGAAAATGGAAACAAAAAGGAAACTTATACTTAACATTAGAAAGAGACAGTTGAAATTTCTACAGAAGGATGCTGAGGATACCATAATTTAATCGTGTCGGCATTTGTTGTATTTGATACTCAAGAGTTGGATAAATTGCTATATATTCAGGTAATTGTAATAATGAAATAAACCTTTTCCATACAGGAAACATTCGGCATTCATTGGCTGAACAGTTAGTCTTATTTTCGGTTGGTGTTTATGAAATCTTTTTTCTTAAAACAATTTTTCAGGCAATTCGACTTCTCAAGTTCACTAACTGTTATTGATCTTTCTCATGCCGATGGGCGTTTCCTTCCTTGGTAATGTGGAAAGTTAACAGTTTGATATTTCTTCAGTAGTTACATGCACTAACCATTTTTGTTGTTCCTGATGCTGGAAGTTTTCAAGTAATATGGTTTTGTTATTTGATAAAGTTCTTTGTTTATGATTTAATACTCCAACTACATGAATTTAAGCATGATACTAGATTGGCAACTAGGTCCCACCGTTTTACTGTTTAAATAGCTAGATGCAACCTCCACTTCCATTCCAACAGTTTATTTTCTCGCACTTCCCACCTGTTGAACTCCCTTCTGATTTCTTGCTTCCCTGTTAACTACAATCTTCAAAAATTTAAATGCAACGTCAATTGCTATCTTCTGTTCTTGAATCCTGTTCATTGTTTATCCTTTCTTCAATCTCAGTGTTCTTGTTTTCTTTTACTTCCTGTAATTCCTTGCATCACAGTGGCATTACTGCCCTTCTCGGGGGAAAATGATTTAAAAAAGTTACCGAGAATATCCTAAGGATGTTTATTTGGTTTAAATGATTTCCAAAACTTTGCTTCATAATGAATTAGGTTTTTGAATCTTTTCCGAGAAATGTTTCCCAATTAAATTATTAGCAAAACTGAAATCCAAAACAAAGAATTAAAACATAACAGTGAAATCAGCCGTTTCCATACAGGAAATATTCGACATTCATTAACTGAACATTTGGTGTTAATATCGATTGGAATTTCTAAATCTTTTTCTTAAAACGGTTTTTTCAGGCAATTCGACTTCTCATGTCCACTAAGTGTTCTTGCTTTTTCAAATACAGATGACAATTTCTCTTCAAATAGAATCTGCATTATTTATTCTTTATTACCAAATTTAAGTGCCACCTGGAAGAATCATGCCGATGGGGTTTCTTTTAATAAATACATTTCGTCTGTAGTTTCTCTTATATGATAGTGAATGTAAGACAATCCCCTCAAAGATGAAGAAGAGACTTGAAGCAACAGAAATGTGATTCTACAGAAGGATAATGAGAATACTATGAACTGAACATGTGAATAGCAAGGAAGTTTTAAAGAAAATGGAAACTAAAAATAAGACTCTTATACTTAGAATCAGAAAAAAGACAATTGAAATTTCTAATTCATATAATGAGGAAAGGGGGAGCGAAACTGTGTGAGGAAAATGTCTTGTGATTTCTGGATAAAAATGAAAGAAAGACTAAACTTTCTTTTGTTTTAACTTGTGGAAGCCAAAGAGAACATAAGCTTCTCCGGAGAAACGTGTTGTTAATAAATATTTTCCACTTTGTCGCGTCATCTTCACTTTTTGTTTCGGATACTATTAGACATCCTCCAAACACACACGTAATGGAGACATTAGAATGAATCTATTGAATGGAGCTTCGTATTGGAGACGTTAACATGATTGCCCCGACTCGAGTGAGCTACGTATTAGAGACATTCAAATGAATGTGTCGACTCGAGTTTCGGGACATTAAAATTAATCTGGTGCAGAAATTTGAGCATCTGTCTCGTGTTGTAACAGAGAACGGATAATGTGTCACAGAAATTCGGAGATACACAAGAATAGCGAATGATGCCTTCTAAAAACTAAGCAAAGTATTAAAAAAATAGAAAAGATCTGTTAGAAACAAAGAAACGAGGGCTGAACTGCTATGTAATATTTAATCTTTAATATGTCATCTCGAATGTCTAGTAATCTCTTCATAGCTGAAGAAGTGGCTTGAACTGACGGAGATATGATTTTTTTACTGACGTATACTGATATTCACAAACTCCACTCTATAACTTGACCTTTCAGTGTTATGACGCAGGCTGATTTTGAGGTCATTTTTTAGGGAGAGAATGCGACTTGACACACGCGAAATACCCTAATGATTAACAAGTTCGCTTAGGAAACGGTTATTAGTCTAATGAGTTTGATTGAATAGCGGTGCTCTTCCCACTTGTGGTCTTAAACCAGATTAAACCAGGCTTCGTCAAGTGACTCAGTTTATTGCAGACTGAGACCAAACAGACATGTGAATGTACGGAACTGATTTAAAAAAATAATGACTAATCTTTTCAGTAATTTTCCTAACTTACAACCTTTAAAAGATTTTTCGGATAGTTAAAACGGATGAACTTTTTCTGACAAAGAAATACAATGGAAGCAGTTAATTTATGCGCAAACAACAACAGTCGGAACGGGCCGGCTGTGGCCACTACGATATTTATGTGTGGAGGGAAATAGGGGAGGAGTAGGGGCACACATGCTGACGTCATTGTTTGATGACAATTTGTGCCATCTGTACACGATATAAATGTAAATTCCCATGGGTATCATAAAATCTACAAGCAAATTAATGTACTGACTCGAGGGTGCTACGTATTGGGGACGTTAAAATGGATATACCAACTCGATTGAGCTTCGTATTGGGAACGTTAAAATGCATGTGACGACTCGAGTCAGCTTCGTATTTGGGACGTTAAAATGAATGTCCCGACTCTAATGAGTTACGCATTAGGAACATTAAAATGAATGTGATGGCACGAGTGAACTACGTCTTGGGGACGTTAAAATGGATGTGCCGACTCGAGTCAGCTTCGTATTTGGGACGTTAAAATGAATATCCCGGCTCTAGCGAGCTAAGTATTGGGGACGTTAAAATGAATGTCCCGCCTCGTGTAAGCTTCGTATTGGAGACGTTAAAATGAACGTGCCAACTCTAATGAGTTACGCATTAGAAACGTTAAAATGAATGTGATGGCACGAGTTTGCCACGTCTTGGGGACGTTAAAATGAATGTGCCGACTCGAGTCAACTTCCTATTTGGGACGCTAAAATGGATGTCCCGACTCGAATGAACTACGTCTTGGGGACGTTAAAACGAATGTCCCGATTCGAGTGAGCTACGTATTGAGCATGTTAAAATAAATGTCCCGCCTGGTGTGAGCTACGTATTGGAGACGTTAAAATGAATGTGCCGACTCTAGAATTAGGAACGTTAAAATGAATGTGATGGAACGAGTGAGCTACGTCTTGGGGACGTTAAAATGAATGTCTCGATTCGAGTAAGCTATGTATTGATGACGTTAAAATGAATGTCCCGATTCGAATGAGTTACGCCTTGGGGACATTAAAATGAATATCCCGACTCGAGTGAGCTACGTATTGAGGACGTTAAAATGAATGTCTCGCCTAGTGTGAGCTTCGTATTGGAGACGTGGTTTGAACTGACGGAGATATGATTTTACCGACGTATACTGAAATTACAATTGGCTGGACATTTGAGCAACGTAGTAGTCTTAAGGAAAGTAAAACCTACAAGGAAACTTATACTTGTAATCTGAAAGAGACGGCTTAAATTCTTGGGTCACTTAACGAGGAAAGAGAACTTTGAAAATTTAACTGTCACAAGAAAGCGAAAGAAGCTAGGTGGGGAACATAGTGAATGAAACAACTTTGAGTGAATTGATAACACAACGGAACAGTAAAAAGCAACAAAAGTAACAAGTTACTTAGAGAAATAAAAGAGAGAAATGTATAGAAAACCATGATCTCCTACGTTCTGAATGAACACGACATATAAAAGAAGAAAATGACAATGGTAGACATTGTCATTTTCTTATACGAGAAGGAAAAACAACAAAGTCGTATGCTTCACAGTTGATCAATTGAATCACCAAACAGCGAAATGGACTATGAATTTGAATGTCCAGTGCTACTAAATCTTGAATTGACTTTCTTCTCTTCATTAACACAAATTAGCCCAGCTTATGCATTCTAGAGTCCTGAAATATATAGAATCTGCTATGGCAAAAATTGGGGGATCTGTTCATGACTTTGTGATAAAACAAAAGTGATCCCCCACTTAATACACGTTTGTTGATATATATATATATATATATATATATATATATATATATATATATATATATATATAATATCAAGGACGCCAGGTTGGATAACCTTTGTAAGCGATACAAATTTTGAAATTCATTTCTTGCGACTTTTTCGACTACTCTTGAAAATAATTAGCCAAGCTTATGTTTTCCAGAGTAAATAAATATATCGAATTTGATATGGAAAAAATTGGGGGATCTCTTTATGACTTGATATAAAACAAAAGTGATCCCCCACTTAATACGCGTTTGTTAATCAAATATTGAAGACCAACAAGTAAGATTGTCAGATCGACTACAATTAACGAATTTGGTTCCATTTGAAAGTCCAGTGCGAATGAATCTGGGATTGACATTCTTCTCATCACTAACACAAATTAACCAAGCTTTTATTTTCTAGTGTTGAGAAATATATAGAATCTGCTATGAACAAAATAGAGATCTTTTTGATTTGCTTGTAAAACAAAAGTGATCCCCGACATAATATTCGTTTTTTAATCATCAACAAGAAGGATTGTGTAGATTGAGCTAAAAGTAATGAATTAGGTTTCATTTGAAAACCCAGAGCTTTCTAGAATAGAGAAATATATAGAATTTGTTATGGCAAAAAGTGGGGAATCAGTTTTTGATTTGCTTGTTAAACAAAAGTGATCCCCCACTTAATACTAGTTTGTTAATCAAATATTGATGAGCAACAAGCAGGATGTCAGATTGGGCTACAGGTAATGAACTGGGTACCATTTGAAAGTCCAGAACATTCTAGAATAAAGATATATATAAAATCTGCTGTGGCAGAAAGTGAGGGATCTTTAAAGAAAAGTGATCGCCTACTTAATAGACACATGTTTGTTAATCAATTTTTTATGATTTCCAACCAGGGTTTCCAGGTGAGACCCACAATAAGGAATTGGGTGACATCTGAAAGACCAGAGCTACTAAATTTTAAATTGACTTACCAACATTTTGCAAGTTAATTAAAACCAGAAAATATTCTAAGAAAATGATGATTTACTGATACAAGTCCTACTAAAGTCATATCTGTAGAAGATGCCTTTCCTAAGGGTATTTTCACGTAAATGAATAGAACAAACCCGACTGGAATTGGAACTCAGCTCTCCAATTTCAATCCTTTATTCATTACACCACCTGCACATCCAAACTTTTAGCACCTGATATTCCCAAGCGGTCACCCATCTAGGTACTGACTAGGCTCATCGTTGCTTAACTTCAGGGATCGCACGATTGATTGATTGGTTGATTCGTTTTCTACGGCTTATCAACCCTTTTGCAGGTTATTTAAAGCAAGAAAATATTTTTAGATTGTAAGATTTTTTGAGATAATGGTTTAGTGATACAAGTATACTAACACACTTCGAGGTGGTGTAATGGTTATATATATATATATATATATATATATATATATACACTAGGACAGGTTTATATTTCATTTTTTTTTTTTTAGAAAATCAACATTGTACTTAGTGTGAAAGCTGGAGTTTGATGGGATAAGTACTGAAATCAAAAATTAAATTCATAGCTTTTACCATGTTTTGAGCAATTAGTGTCAAAGGCCGTCTGGAAAAATGTAGAGAAATCCCTAATTTCCGAAGGTTTTTGCTTACAAACTGACTTCAAGATTTTACTATTTCAAGAATAATCTAAATAAAATTCATACCTTTTGTACTGGATACATTGAATGGAAAATATATTCAAACCAGAATATCCATTTTTTTTTACTGTATTTGATAAGTAAAGAGTAAAATAATGAATGTGTAAAAAAAAAAAATTGTAAAAGATTACAAAAAAGGCTACTCAATGAATAAAATTTGTTAGATAATAATTAATAAAAACAAAAAATAGATAAAAGTGTATATTACACAATAAAGCTGCGGGGCGTACATTACACGACAAAATATTTGAAAATTGCACTAAAACTACTGCACTGTATAACATATTACATCATAATATAGCTAACTAAATTGTTCAGTATGATTTCCCATTCTTTTATTTAATGTCACAATGATTTATAAATAATGCGTGTGTGCCTTGCATTTTGTCCATATACAATTTGTAAAGCTTTAGTAAATTATAAATTTTATAAAGCTGTGTTATAAGGCTTTCACTAATCTTTGGAATGAATTTTAACCTCAATATAATCTTTAAATTTATTACCTAAAAAAAACGGTAAGGATTTGGGAAAAATATTTTTTAGTCACCCTCATTTCAATTTTCAAACATTTTCTTGAATTTCATTAGTTGTTAAATAAAAATAAGCTTCGAGAAATTTCCATAACAAAACAGTCAAAATTTGTGCAAAAATAGGCTCAACTGACATAAAAAAAATATTTCTCAACTTCATCCCTAATCTAAATGTTTCAAGAAATCCTGGCTAAAAAATAAAAAAAAATACAACATTCGCCCACGCATTTCTCAGAAAAAATTGCAACAAGCTAGCAAGCTGCTGGAGCCGATTTTGTTATTAAAAAAACTATAAATAGAAACAGCAAACGAATTTTCATCGCATTTTGAGACACACACACACAAAGATACACACTGGAATTATTCATCAAAATTGCTATCAAAGAAACAAACTTTCTTTATGAGAGATTGGAAAAATTCATACAACAAACTTTTTTACTTAAGATCTTTCATAGAAAAATCTTTTGTCTAAGTTAAATTCAACCTTTCAATCAAAGACAGACAACTTTTTAAACATTGAACATTTCTAAAACAGCAAAGAACTTTTTCTCTATACCTATGCACACATCATTACAAACAAAGAAATTGTAAATTGTGTATATAAAATTTAATCTGTTGTTTCAAACATGTATTTTTTGTCGTGATTGAATATCGTTACCATTTGGCCATTTATAATCTATGTTTGTGGATATTGCATATTTATCTACAGCATAATCTTCAATATTGATGCATTCTTTTTAGATCCACTACAATTTTTGTGTCATTATTTGTCATGTCAAATCCCAACTTCCAAACTGAGTGCAATACCACGGTACGAAAATCGATCTGACCTAATATACACAGGAGCATTCAAAAAGTTGGTGAGAAAATGGAATTAAAAGCATTTCTTTTTCAAGCTCCATCAACACCAATGTACTTCTGTAAACGATGATAACAGACATTATTTCTTCTTCTTCTTCAGAATGAGATAGATAATGAATATAGATAGATATGAACAGAATAAGATAGATAGATATGAACAGAATGAGATAGATAGATAGATAGATAGATACATATGAACAGAATGAGATAGATAATGAATATAGATAAATAGATATATATGAACAGAATGAGATAGATAATGAATGTAGATAGATATGAACAAAATGAGATAGATAGATAGATTTGAACAGAATGAGATGGATATATAGATAGATATGAACAAAATGAGATAGATAATGAATATAGATAGATATGAACAGGACTAGATAGATAGACTTTATGTTCAGGTACAAGGAAGGTTATGAAGACGTCAGAATGTGAAAGACTGGTGAAATGTAAGGACCTTTGAAGAAGCCACAAAATACCAAAATAGTTCTTATAACATTAATTTTAATTTCTCTCATTATCGCTATATTTTAAGCGTGAAATAACGCCCCGGTTTGAAAATTTACTAAGCTGGACCAGACTTAACTAAAAGAAAATAAAACGTCAATGCATTGAAGGGTGAGGTTCTTACAGCTCAAAACATAAAAAAGTAAGATGACAATTGAATAAGTAAAAGGGAGTCCTGACTCTGAAAGAAACGTGTACCCCACTCACCTATAAAATTATTCTCAGGAGCGTACCCAAAAAAAGGTCGACAATGACCTGAAACGATATCAAAATCACTAGCCTCTCTTGTTTAATTATTATTTTTAATAGTAATTATTGTTTGGCATACATGTTGGACTTTTATAGTTGGTGTACTGTTATCGGTCGACTTTTATTGTTTTATTGTTCTATATGAATTTTAAGGTTTTATTGCTTTATTGTTCGACGTAAAAATTTAAAGTTTTATTGTTTATCAATTAGCTATAAAAAGTAATCCATTATTTTACTATGTTCTGTTCATATACTTCAACTAATGCAGACACAGAAATCTAAAACGGGAAAATTACATCAATACTAGTGTACACGTGCCGTCAAAAATTACGGTGATTTGTTAGAAAGTTTTAGTAGTAAGATGCCATGAAACAAAAGTCTTGAAACAATGTATTTATGGAATATAACAGGTTGTTGAGTTTGTGAGTATTTTATGTGGGTGCGTGTTTGTATGTAAACAATTAAGGTAGAACCATACAAGAAATGTTTATATTTCATAAGATATGTACCTAATACCATTCTCAGTTGAAATTGAAAAATCAAATTAACTTTTCCACGCGTGTTTCGCACGAACAATTCGCAAAAATAAAGGCCGTAACAAAGGGGAACAACGCTTACGTTTTATTGTTTTCATGTCTTCCTTAAGTTTAAATTACAGCCTTTTTAGGGACATAAAAGCCATGCGAAATTGGATTTTTAAAACACTGGTGCTCCGTTGATTGTAATAAGCTTTACAATTCATAATCTATAAAGATAGATCTACTAAAATTGACTAAAATGTACACCATTTTCACTAATTTTAGAATATTTAACAACTTTAATCTAAAAATGATAAAGAGTCTAGCTGGGATCTGTTACTCAGCTTTTAGATGCTGTCGAACTACCTTCGAGCAGAGAGGCTATGCGGAGTTTACGGGGAAATTTTGGCCAATCCTACAGGCTCGGATTGACCTACATTAAATTCGGCCTTGTGACATCCTACTCCGTGGGGAGGTTGGTAAATATCGACTAGCTGGGATCTGTTGAGTACGACTCATACTTACGCGAGAACTACCGACCTTCCAATAGCAGCATTCACTACTGGATTGACTTGCGACAACTTTATTCATAACTGTTACCTTTATTCTTATTGTACTGGTTAATTACAATAAAACTTTACTTATTTTATCCACCTTGTTTTTCAAGTATATATTCCTATTAGCACGGAATGTAACACGGGAATAATTTAAAGATATATTGTCCAATGCATTCTAAGCATTTTCCGCTTCCATAAACCGTTGTAAAATAATTTTTTGAGTGATAAGGCTGTGTTTATAGACATGCATTTTTTTCTTTTTGGTGGTATCTCATCTACACGCGTTAGTGGGTGTCACATCAGGTTGTTTTTTATTTTTGTTTGTTTTTTTTTGTTTGTTTTTTTGTTTGTTGTTTTCAAGTATTGCGTTTTTACGCGTTAATATGTAGTATTCTGTCAGTTTTTTTGTTTGTTTTTAATGAAATAATTTGTTCCTAACCCTAATTAAATTTTATTTATGCTAGACTGGTTGTATTTTACGGTTAAAACGTCTAATATTTACAATCGTTTTTTACAGTTTATGCAGTATAATAATTTTGTATTATTGATAAGTATTCTTTAGAGAAAAACGGAGTAAAAATGAATTTAAAAGTCTTTAAAAACTTTCCTTGCTTTTCAAGCGTACATGAGAAACTACTGCCCTAATATAAGTAATAAACGACAAAAAGGACAAATAATCAGGACATTCTACACGTACGCACATACGCATGGGTGCGTGGACGCTCATGCACGAACACACACATGTAGACGCACATACACTGTGAAAGAAAAACTTGCACCAATGAAAAATGCATATAAAAAAATCAAGAAGTATAAACAGTCAATTGTTAATATCTCCTAACGAGTAGACAGAATGATTCCCGGAGGTTCCGTCTACGAAACTTTGGAGTCGTGATGCTGAAGGTAACATCAATTAGCTAAGTGACAAACATTTTATTTCTATTAATTATATATATGCAGAGTTTCCATAAAGTTTCCGTACTATTTTAAAAACAATTATTAAAAAAGCAAATGTACAGACAAATATGTAGAATTTTTTACAAAATGAGGAGTAATTTAAAAATTGTATGTTATTTTACTAGTTCCGGTGATACAAAGAGAAACAAGGATTTTAAAATCAAAATTCAGAATGAAGCCAACCTGTGGATTTACTACAACTATGCTGACATTAGTGATAGTTCAAATTTCTTTCTCCTATTCCGGTTGCAAACCACGGCTAGAAGTGATGGATTCACATCTTTTCCAAGGATATTTGCGCGAAAGTGAATTCGAACACCGCTCAGCGATTTCTCGTTTCGAGCCTTTAGCCATTGCACCAGCTGCACATCCTGTGTAAGCACGCCA